TTAAAATTTTACATTCTTAAAATCAGCACTGATAGATCCTGTTTAAAACTATATTTTAATTTGAATAATAGAAATGGAAATTCAATTGTTCTCTTCGAAATAGAGAGTGTGCCTTTTAGAGGAAGTATTGTGAAACATAGTCTGTTCTGGCACTGAATGAAGACTTCGAGATTTCACAGTCTCAATGGAAAAAACATGATTTTGAGGAACGATAAATGAGAATAATGAGCATAATAAAATTCAGAGAAATTATACTCTTTGTATAACTATACCGTAGTGCATCTAAGTGCAACATTTGATGAAAATAAAAGGTAATGTACGCAAAGCACAAAGGAAGAACTTAAAAAGAATGGTCTGTGTTTTGTGTATAGAATGGCACTTAGATTTCTTTTTCTCAGGTTTTGGGTTTTTGTTTTTGTTTTTTCTTTCTTTTAAGGTCTCATTCATGGTTAAGAAGAAGATGTGGTTTATTAAAATGAGAGTGGTTTTTTGGCTGCTGTGTATTTCATCTCCTAAGTACAACTTGGGCGTTTCCAGAGGCACTGTCTTGTCTGTAACCTCCAGTTTACTCTCTTGCTATTCGCCTCCGCCCTCTTCCCCCTCCCCCCCCCCCAAACTTCTACTGTTATATATAAAGACATCAGACATCAGTAATACTCCTAATGAGTTTCAGGAGCTTTCTAATATTGCTGAGGGAAATAGTAGGATATTCGGTATCTGGAGTTGGGAAAGAAGACATAACTCCTTGGCCTAAAATATTATCTCTATGTTTAAAATGTATACAGTGTGTGATGTTTGGAATGTTATTTCAGTAAACATACTGTAGGATGGATGATTGTTTTATTTGTGGGTAGTTATGATGGGAGTGCCACGGAGTGCAGAGCTACCAAGCTTGGGTCATGAACTCGAGATATGGAATATGCTCTCCTATGAAGAGTTAGTAAATTGAGGTTTTTCAGTCTTGGAAACCTGACTGAGGAAAGGTTAATAGTGGTCTATAAATCGTGATAGACATGAGTGCGAACTGTTTCTTCCTATGGAAGAGCTGGGGAGTGCCAAGTAAATCTAATAGAAACCATATTTAAAATAAAGGGGGGTGATTCTTCAAGCAGTGGCTGCGGGTGTGGAAAACTCTTGTAGAGGGATGCTGAGGATGCTGAAAAATTGAAGAGAAGACCGCATGACTTTGTTGGAAAGAAATCTGTGGAAGGTTCTACAAAATGTGTAGAAACCATATCCAACTCAGAAAGTCCTTGGACTGAACATAGTTGGAAGAATATTGTTGGAAGACAAGAACATAACGTTTACTTGCCCTTTTCTTACTCACCCCTGAGCACCTGCTTATGGCCCCTGTTGGAGGCAGAATACCAGGCTGACTGTGAATAACCGTCCTTATTTTCTTATACATCTTCCTCAGCCAGTTAATGGATTTCAGAGGGAGTGTGATTAGTGGTAGATTCTCTTTTACATAGTTCGCTCTGATATCACTCTGATATATCTCCTAATTGTCATCATCTGCAAAGTGGAGGGCTTTGTAGCAGTAGCTCTAATAACTGCAAGTCACGTATTCTCATAATCTAATCACAAGCAACATGAGTTTGATGATGTTTTTTTATTATTTCTGACAATTGCATTTTTATGCAACTTACTAGAAACGATAGTTTACATAAGTGTATATGCTTGAGAATCAAGGAAATTATGTTGCTTGAAAGCCGAAGTGTAGAAACAGGATTTTATTTGAAACAATTAAGAAAAACTGAAACTATGGTAATTTTGAATTTATGATTTCTACTAGAAAGATGTCTGTCCAGCAAATCTGAGCTATGCCAACATATTTAAAATGTAGGTTAAAAGTAGGTTGCGTGTCATCTGTGTTCTGAGCTACTTCTGCAGAAGTTTTGGCAGCAGGATCAGCAGCTGTCTTATAAGTAGCAACGGTTGAAAGAGGAGCGGAACGGCATTGATAAATTGCTTCCAGAAGGTCTTTTCTTTAATCTGTTCAGAAATGGCACTGTACTGAATAATGAAACAGCCACAGACTGCAAAAAAAAAAAAAAAAAAAAAGATTATGTTGCTGACCTGGAGTTACCTGTACTGGTTGAAAAATAGGAGAGTTACAGAGACTACCTATATGGAAACGTCTTGAGTTCAGCCTACGTCTATGGTCTTGGCATACTTTCATGAGAGCCCTTTAAAGGTTCAGAAGCGTGTGGCCCTCTGCGTCTGGCCATTTGCCACATCCCATTGCTGCTGTGCAGTAATTAATCAGTTTGACATGGATAGTGCATATGCGTTGAGATTAGGAAGGAAGTGTTGATTTGATTTGTGGTACCTCAAGGATTTGCTTGAGAGGTTACTGGTCAATTTGAGGGAATTCCTGAACTACCCTAGGGTGATTAATACAATTTTATTGATGATAAAAATAGTTTATCACCATATGTATGTATTTTATTTAAATTTTAAACACATTGTGCTTCTATGCGTCAAAATCTGCCTGACCAAGAGCTCCCAAAACTGAGAGATAAGGAGTAAAGAATGACAGTTTTAATAAAGCCTGTTTATTGTGCATGTTAGGAGTATGTCATGTGTGGGTTGCTCATGGAGAACCAACCCAAATCCAGAGCTATGACTCTGATATGTTTATCCAGACCTTTTTCAAGACTGTTATAATTCTTCACGTTATTCCAGCTTTTTTTAGTAGTCACGATGCAATAGCAGTGGTAAGTAATTGAAGTTCCAGGAAAGAAAATAAGTCCGGTTGTTAGAGTTGCATTTTGAAATGAGGGAATGAGGAGCCTTAGATCATGGTAAATAATACTGCTTGATTGTGTTACAACTGCTGGGTTTGGTTAGATAAATGAGCCAAGGAGTAACAGTTATAATGCAGTCTGTTCTACATTCCCTTTTCTGATTTTCATGAAAACAGGTAGGAGGAGTTTCAGAGAGGAAGGTGGGGATAGAAGATGTCTTCAGCTGCCACTTCTTCCTTCCTCCAAGCTAATTTTATATTCTTCTTCAAGAAGCAGCATACATGAGCTGCGTTGTCTGTACTTCTGTATCTGAGATGTTCTTCATGTATCCTAAGTAGGAGAGAACTAGAGGTTTGAAGGAAGAGAAAACTAAGAGTTTTGGCTGTCAGCTATACTTTAAACATGCATTTTGTTGTATGCTTTTTGTAACATTTTCCCAGCTTCATAGATGGGAACCTTACCTTTTTGGTTTTTTGGGTGGATTGTGAAGGAGCAGGCAGCTGAGTATCAGCTCATGAACTAGAGTAACAACATCATTGCCAATGTTAATGCAAGAATTACCTGGAGAAAATCTGTGGTCATGCAGGATTATAAAGATCCTAGTTCCATGTTTGTTGGAAATACAGGTATGTTTCCATCACCCGTGTAATGATTAGTTTTCTGAAGTTTATTACCCATAGGTTTAAAATGTTTATAGACAAAACATTGCAATGTAGATACTATTGTCATTCTTCCCACTATTGGGAAATTGTGGAAAGAAGTAATTTTCCCAATTATCCTATGTCCAACTAAAAAAAAAAAAACAACAACAACAAAGTTGATTCAGTGCATTGAGAATTAGTTAGCTCTCACTGTGATCTTAGGACCCTAAGTTAGGATATGTTTTCTTATCAGAATGTTACACAGAAAGCCTTTCTTTATACAGTATACCTCCCCCCGCCCCTGTTTTTTTAGTGATTGGACTGTGGTCATGTGGAAGCCTTTGCTTAAGCACCAGGGAAGTGATACCACAGCTCTGTCTCTTTTTCCTAAAAGCTTTACTATAGTACTGATCTTTGAGGACTGTGAGCTTGGGTCTCGGTAGACATCAGTGGTGCCTTGTAAATTCCCATTCCTACGGACCTCAGACCTCACACTGCTTGCACCTCTTTCTGTTCACTTGGTCTAATTTGCAGTTCTAGATAAAGCTTCAGATTTTCTCGTAATAATTGAAGCAGAAAGTCTGTTTCATTGTAATGTGTGGCTCCCAGCAGCCCTGAAAAGAGGTAGTAGATAGAAAAAGCCCTATTTAGAATTAGTGCAAGTTTCAGTGGAGTGAAAGAGCAGTTCTCTGTTGAGTTTAATGAGGCCAAGGTTTCACAGAAGATGTTAAGTATCGGCTGTCATGCATTGTTTCTGTACAAGCTAGCACAGGTACTTGCTATTTCATTCACCACCATTTCCCTCTTTGTCAGTGCTCTGAATTGCCAAGTATGACAAAAATGTTGGAGGGCAACTTCTCTTGCAGTGAACACTATTCAGTTGTGTTCAGTTACAAGGCAGCAGAATCTGGCATGACGTTTGCTGGAAGATAAACCTCACTGATTGCATAACTTGAGGTATTTTATTTATATGCACTTAAAGTGACTTGACACATCACCACCCGTAAAGTGATTAATCTTAATTAGTGTAAAGCTTCTTGACTGGAAAAGGTAACTGCAGTTCAGAATGATCAACAAATTCTCTGTAAATGTTTTTTGTTCTGCCTATTAACCTAGCATGTAATTTCACCTGTCCTAAGGTGACCGCTGTGTCTTAAGCAAGGAGATGTAATAGAGTTTCTTGCAAATCTCCTGTTGAGATTCATGTTCTATACAAGGTGATGTGTGTGGTGATTCTGTGTAGAAGACTATTATATTGAACTGTTGTATTCTTTAATTTCATATTAGTGTATTCTGGATAGTAGATAGCCCAGTGGATTGGTATCTTTTGGTGGAAATGCCGTTCTAGATCACAACAGCTTTCTGACAGCAGAAATGGGATCACTAAAAGTTTGTGGACAGAGGAGTGATTTACAGAGAAGTGTGGTATAACAAGTGAGAAGGCAATTTGCAGAAACTTGTGCAAGATGTTTTCAGAATAAGTTAAATTTGTTTACTGATGTTGATTGTTTCAATTCCCGTGTTTCAAATATTTTTTTAATAGCAATGGGGCTATGTTTTAACTTTCACATGTCTGAATTCTAATCTTAATATAACATTTTAAAGGTGGTGATACGTGTGAGTATCTTCTGTCGAGTGGGAGATTTCTTGGAGAAAAAGTATGGCAACCGCACAGTTGCATGATGCATAAGTATAAAAATAGGTAAGAAAGCTGATGTCTTCTGTTCATCTGCCTGGAAAGAAGAGTCATTGTTTGACTGCAGCTGTAGTAATTGCAGTGTCATGTATTTTTCACTTTATAGCTGGTTCTCTAGGCTTTCAAAAATATGCAACATTTATCAGAAGGCAGTCTGTTCCTTGTACCTTATCTGTGTGTCTACAGTGTTTACCATAGTTGTATTCATATATAAAGCTACAAATAAATGTTGGTGATAGTAGTGCTGATACGTGTTATGCAGAGCCACAAGATACTGCAAAACACTGCATAGCTTCATATGTCACTCTCAGATTGCTGAAAGGGAAAATGCTGACCTTATGTGTAGAATTGCGAGTAAAAAATTCCCAAACAAAATTACCAGTCACATTTTTTCACCTACTAGTAAGAGAACTTTACTTTTTAGTTAACGCTGTATATTACCATTTTGAAACTACTGTGTTTGTAGCACCACAGTATAGGAAAGCCTGCTTTGTTGTTTGCCTAATCACATTAGCAGAAGAGTTCATTTTCATTTCTATGCAAATTACGCTGAACTTCTTACTAATTCAGCATGTTTAAAAAAAGATTTACTGTTCCTTAGAGCTGGATATAATGCTTAGAATTATCTCTATTGCTCTGTAGATTTTCTAAAGACTTTTTCCTAAAATATATGTTTCCAGTAACATGAATGTTGCTGTTTTGTTTTACAGTGAAGCAAAAAATTGCCTCATAGACAAGCATGTTGTGTTTATAGGAGATTCTAGAATTCGACAGCTGTTCTATTCATTTATAAAACTCATAAATCCTCAAGTCAAAGAAGAAGGAAATAAGGTGAGCTAGTTTATTTTGATGATGTTTTTGTTTTTTTCTTCCTAATTTACCTCATAACTCTTCTCTGAACTTCAAAAAAGCAAGAAATGATACTGTTTGCTGGCTTAGCCATGAGGAAGAAGAACCATAGAAAAGTCTTCTGGAGAAGAGCAAGATCAGACCAAGATAATTGTTTGGGTACTAATGAGATGATTGGGAATCTGAGAAGTGAACCAGGAAGCTCGAGAGAAAGCTTGCGGCAGTCTGGGAATAAATTAATGAAGCTGACTTGTCCCATAGCAACTTATGCTTCATATTTGGCTTCTTGATGAGAAAATGATTGCTCCTTTGTGTGTTTTTAGATAGTAGTAATTCATGGATTATAATTTGTGATTTTAAATGTCAGTTAAATTGCTGATCTAATCTGTTCATAAAAATCCTTGGGGCAATGATAGATTTCCAGGTCTAACTTGAGGCTGAAACTAAAAATAGCTTCTGATCTTACCTTCCTTTTGATTGCTGCTGAAGAGCTGTTTGAATTTTATAAGGTGAAGAATGTAAACTGCAGCTTGCAGGGTGGAAGCAGTAAGAAAGGATTTAGCTGTGCCATTTGTTGAACAGAATATTAATTCCTTTTACTATATTGTGCTTCTTAGGCATATCCCTTTGTGGATATATGTACATATGTGAGGGAAAAGATGTTTCACTTTCAACTGTAGATCAGATTTGTCAATTATTTAGTACTTCCATCGTTCAGAAGTGCAAGCTGGCAGCTTTTTCAGCAGGCGGCATGCAGTCACTTTCACTTGTCAAAACAAGATGTTTGATTGATGGAATAACTCTGTTTTTCCTAGTCTCTTGGTTAGGTCAACATTGCTGCCCAAAAGTGAGGGTATGACAGAGTGCTATAATTGTTTTTTAAGTCGAGAGGTATCTTTTGTCAAGTATTTATGAAATCAATATCTCAGTTTGTGGAAGAGAAACACACTTGCTGTTTTGGACCAGGATTGAAACTAATATTGTATTTAGTAATATTTTAAAGGAAGATTATGTATGCAGTATCTGACTGCTTCCTTTCTGATTTCTTACAGTCTCACTCGGCAAATTTAATAATGTATTCCAGACTTTATTTCTGCCTGAGATTATTTTCTTTTATTCTTTAATTAAAACTGTTTTCGTTTTTTTGTGCCAAGAAGATGGGCAAATGAAAAGAAAGGCTAGTGAAAAGGAAATGTAAGAAAAGAAAGGAAAAAAAGTCTAAGTTTTGCTCATTTTGGGAGGCTAGATTTAGGAAAATACTTTATACTTTTGTAACGGAGTGAACAGAAAGCATTTCAGACTTTGTTGGATAGATTTCTTCCAGGAAAAATAACCCTTTATGCGAGTAGTTTGTTTTATCAAGAAAGTAACATAAACATTTTGCATGAGTATACTGACAAGTTTATACAAGAAAAATCCTTTCTACTGAAGATGAACCTTTGGGTGAGAGCAAATTAACATATGAATGTAAATATTTTTTTTCCTTCTGAAAGTTTGTCTTACTTTGGTTTTATTGTTTTGGTTTTTTTGGCAGCATGGAAATATCCCTTTTGAAGATAAATCTGCTTCAATTAAAGTGGTAAGTTTTTTTTACCTAGCATTAAATTGCAAGCCATAATCATGCATATTATTATTTCATACAACGTAATCCAAATTGCAGTCAGAGCTGGATTTTTCAAATTTCCACAAATGCTGTAAAAGTCAAAAGAAGCTTTAGACCATCAACATTCTTTACCATTTTTCCACAAAATATATCAGAGCGTATCTTAACATATTATATTTTGAATAAGATTCTTTGAGAGATTTTGGCTTTGAGTATTCTCTGTTGGCTTTGGGTATAAGTTCTGGAAGCATGTGTAATTTTTTTTTTTGTCGGATCTTATAATTTGGCCTTCCCAAGAATAGCTTTTGCCAGGAAGTTCACTGTTGCACTGCTGTAAGAATAAGTATCTGGGGCTCACTTACTTGGAATGGTAATTGTCATAATTGCCATCAAGCTCTCTGTGCTATCCCAGCAAGTATTCTTTCCACATGGAGAAGTAACCACAATGTTGATTATAATGTGGATATTCAAAAAAAGAAAACAAACAAAGTACTTGAGGGTAGGTTCTGTGAAGGTCTCTGTTCTCCTCTGCCCTGGCAGTTGAGATGGTATCCTCAATAGCTTTCTTTGCTTCCCATGACAGCTCTCAGCAGCGCTGGGATTCTGCTAGTCATGTATTTGCTTATCCCCTGGAGACAACTCATTCTCTGTTCATGAAAACTAAAGAAGCAGTGTATTTGCTCAGTTGTCTGCAAGTGAGTTTTCAGTACCTGTTTGTGTACATGGTTAAGATTTAGGGTACAGAATAACATTTTATGGTGTGAGCCCATGGCAATTTAAGCCTATATTGTCCCACTCTGTTGCTCTTCACAGTCTGTTCCCGGGTTTGTGCTGTAACTAGCCCTGGTACAGCTGTGGAGTGGGCTGGTTTAGAAGTCAGTTCAGCCAAAAACTTACCTTGTAGGGTTCCTTTTTGGTCAGGTCTGGTGTGGCTCATCATATGGTTATGCGAATGCTGGAAAAGAGGGGCAGAACACACAGCAGGACAAGGGGACAAAGCAATGTGATTTATGTTGATGTAGTCTGACACAGAACTACATCTTCAGAACTCGTTAAGCCTTGGTAGGTGGCTAACCACCAAGATTTGAGATCGCAGGTTTGGGCTTTTGGGAGATGTCTGGGTAGCTAAGAATATATTCCTAGTCTGCTGCTGCCTTGTTTTGATGCCGTATTTCTGTTGACATTATTGGCACGGTAGCTGAATTTTCACATTCAGCATGGCTGTGACCCAGTAATCTAAATGTAGAAAATACTTGACAAACAAAAGCAAAAATCACTGGGAACAAGTGGAGAGTTTAAGTTTGCCCTTTCTAGTCATTGCACTGACCCTTCCATCCTTCAGCCACTGCTGATTTTGTGCCTTGGTAACTTTGATTTGTGCCTTGGTAGTCTTGAATCATTGTTCAAATGATTGTGCCGTACAGTAACAGAGTGAACCTTGCCATTGAACTTTCTTAAGTCACACTTTTACAACATCATATTAAACCCACTTTTGCTAATACCTTTGACGGTGATTTTTTTAAGTGATCTAAGTCACCCATTTGCGACAAGATGGCTGCCTGATTGCTCACAGATTCCTGCCAAATAGTGAATTGACAGTAGTCAAGGGAACTACCAAAATCTTTAGGTCTGTGCAGGTGGAGATTTCCTCTCTGATGGTAGTGTTTCTGCATTCTGCATGATAAAGTTTCCTTACAGTAATTTCTGCATATGTAATCCCTGCCATTTCACTTTAATATGTATTTGTAGTCCTTCCGATAGTTCTGCAGCTGAGGAATAACTAGATGCTAGGTAGTCTCAGCCTTACCTGGGAGACATAATAGCACTAGTCAAAGTCTAGACTGTCCTTCTAGATGAAGGTTGGGCACTACTCCTTGTATCTAAAAAAATGTCAGTAGGTAATGCATTTAATGTCCATAGCACTATGAGATTTAAACAGCTAATAATTTATGAAGTGGTAATGTAAAATGTTAGTATTTCTTTTTGTTTGAAAATTGTGATTTCAAGCTATCAATCATAGTATGTAAAGTTCTGGAAGGAAAAAAAAAAACCCACGTTGGTAAAAACTTTGGGAAATTGAGCAAAAAGCAAGTTGTAACAAATAAGTTACAGATGTGAGCTTGGTTTTAGCCCTGATTGCATTGGAAGCTCAAGGACATCTCATTTGGCAGAAGCTAAAAAATTACCTTCTTGGTGAAATCCCAACTCCTGAAATACAAATGAAAATTTCTTTTTTTTTCATGGGGGAAAAGGGGTTTTATGGGTTTTTTTTTCTTTTTCTTTTTTTTCTTCCTGTTTTCAATGCTAGACTGAGAAGTCAGGCTTTTCATGCTAACTATAAAGGAAATCTCACTTTGGGCCAGGTGTGTTTTCTTCATGGTTGAATTGATGGCAATTAGGTGTTTTTTTTTATTTTTTGTTATTAGTCTACTGCTTGTATTTAAGCTTACAGAGTAAATCTGCATTTATTTTACAGGATTTCCTGTGGTATCCAGAAGTTAATGGCTCTATGAGGCAACGTATCAAATCTTGGACTGAGGTTTGTCTTAAAAACTGTTTATTTTAGGAGAGTATGCAACTGACTGAGGACTACTACCTTTCTTTTTTTTCCTACACACAACTATAATTACTAGGAGTCCAGCAGCTGCAGCGTATCACATATTCAGTCAGTTACGTACAGAGATCTGAAATTTGACATCAAAATAATGAAGGGAGGATGTTTACTGGTGTATATGTTTCTGCGCATCTCCTGGTCTCAAGGGTGGCTTCACTTGGGCCAAAAAAAACCAAACCAGAAAACCCTACTTCCTAGAAATAGGTTGATTCATCCTATTAAGAGCTGAAAGGATTTTACTCTGATGTGACATTTCTCTTCTGTGTCTGTAATGGCTCTGCTTTTATGTGACCAAACATTTTTGACCCTTATGGATCCCTTCCAACTTGAGATATTCCATGATTGTATGATTTTATATTTATGTTTGAGTGTTCCAAACTGAAGGACAAAGGCAATTTGGAAAGTCAAGAATGCCTCTATTATTTTTTTTCCCAATATTTCCCTCAAATTACGTACTAATTACTTTACGTGTTTCAGTTATGCTGAACAACATGACAACCTACATCATAAAATTATGTATGTAATTCTGATAATGAGTAATATGTTTACAGATTGGCAACTAAATTTTTCGTGTTTCTTCCTTTCATGACCTTTAAAAAGCCTGGAGCTACTTAGCAATGGCCCCCCGTGATTCTTTGCTACCCTATTTGTCATTCTTGCACAACACCTTCCATCAAGATAGCTGAAGTTATTTGTTTTTCTCTGATTACCACAAAAAATTGAGAACTGCTAAACCCTTGCTGTGCCAAGGCAAAACTCATACTGAGGTGATCAGCACTGTTTGTTTCCTTGTACTCTTCTGTTTGAGTGCATATTGTGTTCCTTGTCCTAGACATAACTTTCAGACAAGGGCAACAACTGTCCGATGTCCTTGTTTTGTTTTTGCAGTGGGTTTTTAGTCACTTCAGTCAGTAGAACAGCCCAAACAGATGTTTGAGAATGCTGAGAGACACTGAGAGAAAAAGTACTTCCATAGTATGATCTACAGTTTACTTGACCTTAGCGGATGTTTAGATAGCATTTAAAGATAACTTATGCTGCTAAATTGATAATGATTGTAAGCACTTACTGATGCTTTGCACTTTTGCAGATTCTGTTATGTGAAAATTCTGCTATATCACAAATTGATGTTCTCTGTAATATATCTGCAATCTACTCTTTCGTAACCGTTAACTGATGGACAGGTTGAGTCACAGTTAATTAAGATATGAGTCTTAATTAACCTGCTCAATATAATAATAATTTGTGAATATTTTTACTTTGTGTCTTAGGGCTCTGTGACAAAACCTCATATAATTGTAGCAGGAGCTGCCACGGTAAGTTATACGTATATAGGGTATTTTAGTAAAGAAGGAAGTTCTAGTAGCATAACTTTTATGCTCTGAAGTTGGTTACATGATGAAGTTATTAAACTCAATTTATAATAAAAAATATACTCTCAGTGAATTTTCTGTTATAACAAGTAGTTCTAAAATGTCAGATACATTTTATTATAGCTGTGTGATGTACAGTACTTGCTTTTTGGCAGCAATACTGATTGATAAGCATTGATTAGCTTGAACCTAGCTAATAAAGTAGCTTCTTTGTTAAAAGCAGATTATTAATTTAAAAAGTTAAATAAAAGTACTTGTGTATTAACTGCGATGCATTTTTAATAAATGCAGTCACAAAATGCTGCTTTTGAGCATGGCCCAATCTGGAACGCTCTTTTTGAGTGCACATATTTCTTTTAGACTTATGTGGGCAAAAACCTGAATTTTACAGGAATAATGCAACAACCAAAGAGATTGCACTTCCTGATTCTTGTTCCACTGGAAGTTTCCACCACAGCTAAGAGCTGCAGCATCACAGAAAACAGGGCTGACAAGGATCTGAAGAGGTCTCCTAACCTACCAGTTTGCCACAAGGCAGGATTGGTTATACCTGTGTCGTGCTTGACAAGAGTCAACCAATTCTTTAAAACTTCCAGGGATGGAACTCAACAGCCCCCCTAAGTAGTCTGTTCCAGCAGTTGGCTGGTACTGGGGGTCAAGAGTTGAACAACTGCTCGTGTCATTAATTCTACATTTAATGTCCCTTACTTCCAAGTATTTTGGAACTGGAATTTGAAAGGAATTAGCTACTGTAAATTCATACCAGCTCAAATGTAGATGGGGGAAAAATGTGTTCCATTTTAAACAAAATCCTTTGAAAACAGTTTGGTTTAGAGAAAGTTCAGGCATTCTACCAATCTGGAAGCTCCCGGGCATGCCAATCTAGGGTGAATTCCGCAATTTTAGGGGAAGGTCATATTTGTATGCAGACCTCCACACATTTCCTGAGGGATCAGAAATTCTCTATTTCCTTACAGGTGAAGCCCCCAAATTCTCTTCCTTTGTCGGAATCCTTTCTTGCATGCAAAAGATCAGGTTGCAAAACTACAGGACTCTTAGCTAAATAATTCATTTTACTCATATATATACATTAGTCATAGCTTGTTGTCCTTCGTGGACAGCAGGAGATATGAACCAACAATATGTATGTGATGCTCAGGTCTTTATAACGCTAATATATTTACACAAAACGTTAATAGTGATATCTAGACTTGGCCAAAGATAAACATCCTCTATTTTAAGGGACTTACAGAAGAATAAAGTGCTTCAAAAATCTGACACATCAGCAACATTACCATGGCTAGCACTAGCGTGATATCCTGCTACTAGATTAAGCTGGTGTGTGCCCTTGGACTTGTCAGCATTTTGAAACTTACCTATATCTTTAACTTAGCTCTCGGTTGGGTCATGCTACTTTGGTCTGGACATGTCTGTCTTAAGATGTCAACTGCATAACAATTTATAAATAGAAGTAAAGTCTTATAAGCTGGAGAAGCTCCAACTAGTACAAAATTCAGTTGCTTGCTTATTCTGGGAAAAGGAGATGCTCTGAGAATGTCACTGCAGTACTCTGCTTCTTAGTTCCTGACTTCCTGTTGAATAGAATATGCTTCTTAATACGTCTGTTTAAATACTGTAGGTGTTTCGTGAGTAAAGATTTAGCTACTGGGAGAAACTGCTTTTTTTCCAGAGTGTGAATTCTCAGAGCAGCTGCATGTTATTTGGTTTCATGAAGTATTCGTTTATATTCAATAATATTCTCAAGAAGTGGATTAAGCAGTGTACTTGGCTTACATCAAAATTTTTATATAGATATTTAGAAATAATTAGAGAGTTCACGACATTCAGACTAAATTATTTATTTTTTTTTTTTTACAGATTTTGACTAAATCAGTATAGATACAGTAATACTTTGAAAAAAATGTTGATCTATTTTTCTTACAGCATGGGAGATTCTTTTCAGAAGTTAGAAGAAATTCGTGTGTGGCTATAGCATTCTCCCAATCATTTCATATAGACGATTAAATCAGAAATTAAAATGGCTCTTTTTCTTTTCTTATTTCTTTGTGGATATCTGCAAAACAGATGGAAATATTGGAACTCGATACCACCGTCAAGTTTTGCTTGCATGCATCTGTTGTTGTGGTCAGTTTTCCTAGAGTAAGATCAACCAAATTGGCCATGATTTTTATATAATGTGACTGGCTTTGCTACTTCATCATTGTTCAAAGTCAAGGGGCTTTTAATTAAAACACCTTGCATAATTTAATTTATGAAAAATCAAATATATATTAAGTTGAATATTATATACTCCACATTTAAATGGTCTGTTTGAATGTAATTATCTGTCTAGACAGCTGCTTCATCCAAAAGAAATTTTTTAGCACTTTAGAAGTGAAGACTAAAGAAATAATCTAGCTTTATAGAAATAATGAAAAATAGCTACTAACGGAGCAATGTAATCTCTTAATTAAGGGTCCTCAGACATACAGGTTCTGAATATCTCTCTGTTTCTCCAGTGGTCTATCAAGATTCACAATGGCAGCAACGAAGCCCTCACACAATATAAAATCAATATCACTTCAATTGCACCTCTTCTGGAAAAATTAGCAAAAAGTAGTGATGTTTACTGGGTCTTACAAGGTAAAGTAATGAACAGTAGGTAACAATTTGTACTGTCACTGTCTGTTGAATCATTATCTTGTAGGATATGGAAAACTTAGTCCATACTGCTTACTTGCCGAGTAAGAAGGGTGTTGGTTGAATTCCAATCTGGCCTTTCTTGCAGCCTTAACTGGCTGGTACCTAACTAGCTGTTAATAGCAGTGGAGATTTTAAAGCTCTTTCAGGAAAATCTTTTGCCTTCTGAACTCTTAATTCTTTGTTAGCTTACTCTCAGACTCAATATGCCAGGTCTGTTCTCCCTGTGCTGTGCTCCATACGTGCCTCCTGGGGTTCAAGAGCACAAGTGCACAAACCAGCAGTATTCCTGTGTCTGTGTTCAATTAAATTTTCCGGTTACATAAATAATAGGAGAGGTTCAACAAGTGCATCCTCTGTGTGTGTCTAGAATGAACAGACATACTCTAGAGAATATAGAGAATTTAAGTCTCTAGAATGAAACTTGCTTCTGTACACTGAGCACTGATGAGTTAAGATTAGGAGCCAGAAATCATGGTTCAAAATGAGTCTGCGATATTTTTATTATGGCACCAAGCTTACATTCTTTTGCTTTTCTTGAATAAAACTAAGGCTATGTGTCTGACACTGAGCAATGAGCTCATAGGTAGAATGCGCTCCTGGTTTATCTGCCACAGAATATAGCATTTTAGATTATCATCACCTTAGTTAGAAACATAGGCAGATTTTGAGCCCAGGTAGGAATATACCCAGCTGTACCCTTACAGTCACATCCAAGTTCCTATCAAAGATGGTTCTAGAGGTTAACCTGAATCAACAGATTAATCTTCTCGCATTCCTTTCAAAACCATGTTTATCTATAACAGAAGCAGGTAGCTGTCAGACATGTCCCAACGTTCTGTTCATAAAGATGCGGTCCATTTAAGTCACCTCTGAGCTCTTTAATGGAACAAATAAGAGGAAAAATAGTCTGTACACATTGAGTTGTCTAAACATTGATTGTCCAGAAGTAGGCATTGACGTAGCTAAAGGAAGTCAACTTATAGCTCGTAGAGTGTGTTTCACCGGAGTTATGAACATCAGTAGCTTTTCATAGCAACTTATTGATCTCCGGCTGACCTTTTGATCTAGAACCCCGTGTAGCTTTGTGTTAAGCTCTACATAATTTCTGAAGCCTGCAGGCAATTAAGTGGTGTTCCATTCTTCTGAAAAACTGAAATTCTGCCATCAGTTAAACTGGAATCAACAAGAGAAAGTGGAATATGCTTATGGACTGTGACTTAAAGAAATGAGAATCTGGTTTCTTCTGGAGTAACTAGAGGGTTTGAGAGATATCTTTTTTCAGTGTGTTTATTCTGCTGCCTGCCTTCTGTCCTCTTGGCTTTGGAGTCTTTCCTCAGGGGATTCCGTTACTGAGAGAAGGCATAAACAGCTCTGCACTCCAGCATTATATGCTCTTCATGGGTTTGGGGAAATTAAAACAGGCATTTATGTCTGGCTAAAGCTTTCTAATGTGTAAGTACATATGCATGACTAGGGAATGGTGATAAGAACATTTCATCATAAACAACTCTCGTTACTACTCTAGTTACTGTAACAGTCACTCGTTCCTCACTGTACATTTTTTCTGTACCATTAAACAATCGTGACTATCTAAATGAAAGCAGCCTGTACAACTTGAGCTACGTATTTGTCAAGTAGAGGATTAATGTGCCTGTTCTTTGTCCTTTCAAATTCAGACCCTGTTTATGAAGATATGCTGAGTGAAAGTCGGAAAATGATCACTAATGAGAAAATAGATGCTTATAATGAAGCAGCTGTTCGTATTCTGAACAGCAGCTCCCGAAATTCCAAAGCTAAAGTTAAAATGTTCAGTGTATCAAAATTGATAGCACAAGAAACTATCATGAAGTCTGCAGATGGCCTGCATCTCCCCGAATCAAGCAGAGACACAGTAAGTGTTTTTATCACTGGTCAACATTAAACAGTAATAATAGTAAAACGGGATTTTCAGTGAATGTTCTGAAATGGCAGACAATATAATGAATATAATGAGAACCTACACATTCTCAGGAAATTTTGTTCAGAAGATCTCAATAGCTGGGAGGGCAGTTAGTTATATAGAATGTTTAAAAAACATAATAGCAAACACGTTAGTGCATAGCTATTTTAAAGTAGCTGTTAATCCGCTAGATCTTTCAGATACTGAGTGCAAACTGCTTGCCTTCCTCTGCATGAATTAGAGTGATAACGATTTGTAAAGCAGTGCTAAGAAATAAGTTTTCAATTTTCCCCTGTGTGCTCACATAATTTTGTTTAGTAAGGAGTATGAAAAGGATAAGAAAACACAAAATATACACTTTCCTGGTTGCATGGAGTGCCACTGACTTGATTGCTTATTTTAACCTATCTATATATGATAGATAGGGGCTTATTTTAACCTATCTATATATGATATATAGGGGCTCAGAGTGAGCCCCTCTGAGCTTTGTCAGTCTGCCCTTCTTGTAACTGAGCTCTCCCGCCGTGTCACTTTTAGTTCCACTTCTTTGCAGGTTTCAGTTGCTTTCAAGTACTGGATGAACTAAATATCATCTCACCACAGATTTCAGTCTCATTGTCATGTTTTAGAGACTTTCATTACCATGACCCAAGTTTATGAGCTGCTTTTCACGTATAGTCCATTTAGCTCTTCATAGCTCCTTTTATAGCCAGTAGAGAGAACAGTTCTGTTGTAAGGATTAGGATTAGCTCTTTTTGCGTACCTCAAGAAGCTCAAGGGTTTCCTGTTTGGAAGAAGTGTTTTGACTGTACTGTTGAATGCAACTAGGTATGTGGGGGTACTGTGAAATTTTATCTATGTAATGATAAGGGAGAAATGCATATATTTTATTGTCAATGTATGATCTAGAAGAAAATTTCTTATGATGAAAATGTTAACGTGTTTATTACAGATTGACAAAACTGCCTATTTCTTTCACAGAATGCAATGATTCTTATGAATGTCTACTGCAATAAGATAATGAAGCCCATTGATGGCTCCTGCTGCCAGCCTCAACCTCCTCTCACTCTGATACAGAAGTTAGCTTTCTGTTTTTTTACTTTGTCCATTATTGGATATTTAATTATCAATTTAATTCATCGGAATAATTTTCGGAAGAACAAATCATGCACTGATTTGGAAAGTGGAGAGGAGAAGAAACCTGCCATCAGCACTCCTAATGTTTCTACTTTAGAGATGCTCTTACACTCCTTTTGCAAACTTGGTCTAATCATGACCTATTTTTATCTATGTGACAGAGCAAATCTTTTCATGAAGGAAAATAAATTTTATACACATTCATCTTTCTTCATACCAATCGTCTATATCTTGGTTTTGGGGGTATTTTATACCGAAAATACCAAAGAGGTAATGATCATGTTGACATTCTACTTATAATGTTGTTTTCCAGTTTGAGTGTAGATAACTAATTACTAAATATTGAAAGTTATATTTTCAAAGTCAGTATAACTCATCTGCAAAAAATGCACTCACAAGCAATGTAACGTTTGCATGGAATTAGATGCAGAAGCTTTTTGAAAGCATATGGGTATGAGTGCCTCTAGCTATTGTCACTCAGTGACATTTGAAGTCAGCATAGCTCAGATACAAGAGAGTGTAGAGCCCGTTAAAATCTGATAGACCTGTGTCCACTAGACAGAAGTATTTTACAATTGAGACCTATTTACCCATAAAGTGGTTTATTGTTTTGAACTTTTTCTCCTCATTTTGTAGATGTTCGTTGTACTTTTTGGAATAGCAACACTCTTGTTTTGTTTTGCATTAGACTAAAGTGTTAAATAGAGAACAGACTGATGAATGGAAGGGCTGGATGCAACTTGTTATTTTGATTTATCATATGTCTGGAGCAAGCACTGTAAGTGATTAGAATTTCATATTTTTTTTTTTAAGTGGGAATGCAGTTTGGGTATGTTATTTCAAAAGAAAGATAGTGCAAATGCATATTAGAGTTGAATAGAATTAATAACTCCTTCTCTTGTTCCTGTAGTTTTAAAAATGGTATTAGCAGAATTAGTTTTTCTCTCTAAGCGTAGATCTCATCGATAAGAGCATTTTGTGTTACTTGGCCAATGAAAAAATATACTTGTTTCCTCAGTGTCGAATATTACGTTACTTTATTTTTAATTGCTAGCAACACTTTATTTTTATGTTCAGAACTTGAAACTGCTGAAGGTAAGCTTTCAAAGATCCTGTCTTAACTCTCTCTTAACTGGTTACAGAATATGGAAAGTGTAGAGCAATAAATAGCAGAAACTTATTTTAACATCAGAGAAGTCAGGGCAACAAAAGAGCTTAGTAAGAAACAGAGAAATGCAGCATACTGTTTCTTTTCTTAGGTAAGCCTGATTTAGTGCAATGCAGAAAAAGGATAAAATAGGGGGGAAGAAGGGAAAATTAAAAGCATTTCTGTGGCCATTTATAAAAGGTACTTTATTTTTCTCAACAGTTTTTGCCTGTATACATGCACATTCGAGTTCTGGTTGCTGCATATCTGTTCCAGACAGGTTATGGACACTTCTCATATTTTTGGATGAAAGGGGACTTTGGTGCGTACAGAGTGTGTCAGGTGAGAATATCTACTTGCCATTTTTATAAAGAAATTTTGTTCAGATAACAGAATATCCATAATATATCCGTACTTCGTAAATAATGTGATATGAGATTACTTAATCAAGGTTTGCACATGAAAAATGGCTGTTGTTTCTATGTCATCTGACCTGTTTAATCGGTAGTGTTTATCTAATACAAACATCTAGGATATAAATGATACTTGCAATGTAAAAAATGCAAGTATTGTAGGCTTTAAAATATCAAGACAAATATTTTCAAATATATAGCAATGGACTTTTCACTGCAGTAGCAATTTACAATATATAGCAACATGTAAGTAATAATCCAGGCAATAAAGAGGGGTACCATTGACAACAAACTTATTTGCTAAATCTTCCTAGATCTACTCTGTAGTCACTGGTGAGTAAGAGGTTTACGTGGATAGCTGTGATGTTCTGAATCGCCCGCTGGAACAGCCTTTCTCCAGTTACTATTGAAAATAGATAGGTGGTGTGAATGTTCTCATCGGCTCTCCCTGTTGGCAAAAAAATTATGGTTTCCCAAATTAGCCATTGGAAGTACTTCATTTTGCTTCTCTTACCTTGTTCTTACTACATCGGTCTGCTCCATGTTCATATTTTCCAATGTGTTTGTTTTTTTTTTTTTTAATTATTAGTATGTTTCTGTTAGTTTTCTTTATACAAGTAGATAAATGTTTGGTGAATCCAAGAGACAGTTGTGTACAGAATTTCTTTCTTTGTCTTCTTCTCTGAATAAAGGTAATTACTGAACAAGTTATTCAGCATGGCAGTGTAGGTGGAACAGATGTTGTCTTGTCTCTGATTTAAATTGAAGTAATTTCCACTTGCTTAAATTGTGAAAGCTTTTAGTTTTTGTATGCATTCTGGATATTTTCCTCACTTGTTAGTGAAATAAAAAACTTTTTGGCTGGTTAGTTAGGGCCATTAATAGTGCCCCAAAGCACTTGTGGTATCTTTCTTTCTTTCAGATGAGTGATCGTTTGGATCCATTAAAGAAACTCTTCACGTTGCTATTTTATTAAGTATCCAACTGTTCTGCATTGAAGTAGATTACTAATACATGAACAAGAGGCATCACTGTAGTATTCGTTACATTTTTCAAGACATAGCAAAGTGTCGCCAAATATTGTACATTACTTCTCCTTTCATTCTCAACTGAAAATGTGTTGGATTGTTTTTTTTGTTGGGACAGTTAGTTCTGTGTAACAATGTTTAACCATTTGATAAATAGAATATGGTTGGAAATACCACGCCCCTTTACTGTTTTTCTTTAGAAACAGAAGAAAATTTCACGAACATATCAGATGTATCTGCTTCGTCTGAAAAACAAATATGCAGGGTTGGGGGTTTTTTGGTTTGTTTTTTTTTGTTGGTTTGGTTTTGGTTGTTTTTTGTTTTTTTTTTTCATTTAAAAACTGCTGTTTTTCTTGGTCCAAAAGCCTTTTCAGTTATGGGTTTGAGTTTTCAGATCAAAGTGCAAAATAGCGAGAAAACAAATACTTTCTAGTCAGCTATATTGATTATGGGTTGTTTTCTTTTCCAAAGACAGTGTACTGGAGCCTACGTTTATTAACAAAGAAAATGATTTTCGCTCTGTGACAGTACTGGAGAACATACCTATTTTTGTGGTTTCCCTCCCAGGTTTTGCAGTGTGTGCTGTAGCAGTTTGAAAAATAAGAATAGATCTTCAACTGCTGTTAAATGTTACATTGTCATGTACCTCAGGTCCTCGTGCTTACGAACGGTATGGCTGCTGCATAACTGCGGTAGTGGTAATGACATTACCCTTGCTTTAACTGAGCCAGCCCAGGTGCTATGGGAGTGAAAGCAGAGAGGCATTAAGAGCATCCAGCAACTGGAATACTCAGTCCCCAGCCTGGAGTCAGTTCTATTTTACCCTGTTTTCATTGCTCTCCCTACCCAAAATCAGCCTGCAGTCTTATATTGCATTATTGATGTTCCCTGAGATACTTACCCGTGTTTCAACTAAAATATCATCAGCATGTAAGATGTAAAATACGTAGATATTTTCATATAGTGCTAAAGAAACATGTCCCCCACCTCTCTTAGCTTTGCCTCTCAGTTTATATATCCTCTGTCTTCTTTCCTCTGACTCCTTCCAGGTGTTATTTCGTCTCAATTTCTTGGTTGTGGTACTGTGCATAGTGATGGACCGACCTTACCAGTTCTACTACTTTGTGCCATTAGTTACTGTCTGGTTTATGATCATTTATGCTACCTTAGCTATATGGCCTCAGATAGTCCAGAAGAAAGCAAATGGTAAGATTTTTTTTTTTTTTCTTCTGCTGTAAAACATTGCGTGTTACTACAAATGATAACCATACAGAAAACAGCATTGTTAGTACATTTCGGTCTCTTTTTAACATAGTCAAAATATGTTAAACAGCTATTCACAGAAATATGATTTGTCATAGATTAATTATATGTCAGTTGAAAAACGTAACAGCTGGTAACTAAAGTCTCTCTCTGGTGGCCGTCATATTAGAATACTTTTTGATAGGTTTTGACCATCAGAAATGTGTTTTATCAAGAGTTGTAATATTACTGAATGCAAACTAAAAATATAGGTTATGCTGTCTGTGCTAGCTGAGATTGTTGCTGTCGTGTACTAACAGGCACAACATGAACAGTGAGTGTTTAGACTTTCCCATTCTGCATTGCCAACGTGTCTCATCCATTTTCAGCACTAATTCTTCCATATCCTGCCAAATAAGAACGTGGGGTTTGTTATGTTAATATCTTAGATTAAGCAAACTATCAGAACTATGTCTTGTGATATGGATATTTTAAATAAAAATTGAAGTGAAACCCCAGTTTACGCGTTGCAGTTCATTGAAGAGCTGTCATCATGTGGTAAATGCTTATTATTTAATTAACCTAAATTAGAACCAAAACCTTAAGTCTGTGATCCTCCTTCCCTATTGATGGAGTAATATCCAAATTTTATAGTCTGCAGATATGACAATGAAATATACCAAATGCATGCTAGGAATAGATGCTGCAAAAATATAATTGGAGAGTAGTTTTACAAGGTATCTTGAAGGTAAATAGCTCCAATATTATTTTTTTTTTTTTTTTAATACAAAGGCACTTCTGTTCCAGATACAGAGAAATGATGATTATGTACTTTAGAGCAATAGTGTACTGTGAAACTAGAAAATTTTTCAATGACAACTCTCACTTGTTTATGTCCCTGTTTACAGCAGCCAATTTATATGGCGAGAGAGGGAGATAATCTCTGTTGCGATGTTGAGGCTTGGATAGAGCGTAGTACCAGTCGACAGCTTTGAGGAGCAGTTTCTCAGGCTTGTCTTAACAAGATACTTGTCCTTAATGACCTGCAGTTGAGCTTTGGAGTACAACTGGTACCTCAAAGTTTAATAATATATGCTCTACTTATTTCACATGACAAAAGCTGTTGGGCATTTTGTTTTATTTATTTATTTACATTCACCTGGAATAAGGACTGCCTGTGCAGAATGTTTGGGAAAGCAGAGGCTTTAAAATAGTATTGCTGTTTGAACACCTGAATTCTCTTCTTCCTGTATGTGTGTTGTCCCTGTTTTAGACATGAGGCTTAATTTAGGCTTACTAGGTTGTTAATTGCTGTGAATGTTTATTTTTATTGCTTGAAGTAAAACTTAATATGTAAAGGTAGATAGTGATAAAATATGGCTGGTAATATTTTAAAATTTGTTTATGAAATTTGTCTATTACTAAGCATAGCCACACTAAACAACTGGCAATTATTATTTAATGTGTCCTGGGGTTTGCTATTGAAAAATTGATGACTGTGTACTGATTAATTTATTTCTTCCTCAGGGAACTGCTTATGGCACTTTGGTTTACTGCTGAAACTGATTTGCTTACTGACATGTATATATTTTCTGTCATATTCTCAGGTTTGTAAGTTTTGACTATTTTTATCCTTAACAACCTAAAAGTATATTACCTTTCTCTACTTTTTAATGTGCTCATAACTTGTGTAGTTGCTTCTGTATCATAATTACAGAAGAAAAAAAATGGAACCTTTCTTTTCATATTTGAATTGGCATAATTGCTGGAAAAAACACAATTCTGTATCTTACTGATTTGTTTGTAACGCTTGACATGTTTTTAGTATACTACTACAAATGGAATAAATACAAAGGTCTCTGCTTTGGTTTTGGGGTGGGGTTTTTCTGATGTGCTTAAAGTTACTGGGTTTTGCTAGCATATGGTGATACATATGGTGGTATAGTGATATGAAGATCTGTGTCTCTTAGAGACCTAGTGTTGGCTTTGATACCTTATCAAAGACTGGTTCTCATGCTAAACCAGAGTGCCTTACTGCATGCAGTAAGTAAAGCTGACAGAAATAAGGGCAGAGTTTGTCAGGGAGGATTTTACAGGGGGGGTTGTGTGCTTTTAATCTCTTGCTTTTAAGCCTGTTGAACTGTAGTCTTCTGTAGAGTATGCATTTGTTATCCCAACACATGAGTGGATCTCCCTGTTTAAGCCTGCAGTACAAAATGGAGGGCATGCCAATACCTATATGGGAAGCAAAACTGAAACCCTCTCTCATCTGAAGAAGTATTTTTGTTGTATTTTTTTCTTCTGTAGCGGGGAGTGCCTTCCAAGGAAGCCTGTTATTTTGTTAATGCCATGTAGCTAGTGAAATAGGGATGTAATGATATTAAAAGACAGCATATTGGTTTAAATTTAATAAACATGGTTGACATCAGTGTTAATGTTTTTGCCATGTTTATTTTTTACAGGGTGCATTTGAGAAGATATTTTCTTTTTGGCCACTGTCCAAGTGTTTTGAACTGAATGGGAATGTCTATGAATGGTGGTTCAGGTGGAAGCTGGATCGCTATGTACGTAACATTTGCATACATTTATACTGGTCTTTTAAGTGCATTTTTTAATCTGGGGGGAGGGGGAGTTGTTTTCCTTTCCTCCAGAGAAAACAGGAGTTTGTCCTAGTGGATTGTTTAATAGAAGACTAAGCTGCATCCACCTTACTTCTGCAAATGTCTGTCAAAGCCTTGCTCAAAAGATGGATGTTGATTGATTTGCTGCTGGATCCTGCTTAGTTTGCTTTTAAAAAATGAAGTCATAAAGTGACCCGGATTTGTCTTTTCTCAGAAATTTTACTGCAAAAATTTAACTCCTGTAGCACTTCAGGCTATTGAAGTACAAGGCAAATTATTGTGGTGGCTTTCTTAATAATATTTTTTGAAAGCTGTATCAATTAAGGATATATTTCTTTTAAGGTAACCTTTAAAACACTTCTAAAATCAAGGTCTTGATGCCCAAACCAGACTACTCTTGCACGTATTTTTAAATGGTTTTCCAGTGGCAAAGTGCTTTCTTTCCAGTTACTGACCCTACAATGTGGGGGCATAGAACAGGGAGACACTGGTCTTTTTTTTTTTTTGCCTTCTTGGTAAGGTAAGTGGAGTTTCTAAGATGGGAGCATTTATCTGCTAACCTTATCCTTAACGGGATCACTTGCATGCCTCTCCCTCTGGCAGTCTTCTGTAACTGAAATTTGCAGAGCACACAGCTGCCACGTCCTGGGCTGCTCCCGTCAGCAGTGCGCACTGCGTTGCGACGTTGCAGGCTTGGAGCTTTGTTGCTTGTGAACAGTGTGTATTCTGTGATGCCGCTAAAGACGAAGTCCCAAAATAAATACAGAAGACAAGCACCACATGGGCCTGAAACAGCATCGTGTTGCTAGCTAATGAGAACTTGGCATAAGATTAAAACACTCTGTTGAAGAATTGTGTCTGTGAGAGAGGGAAGCACTTGTAGTGCTTCTTGAATGTTTTCACCTGCTAGCTTGGAAGAAGGCCAGAGACTCATGGTTTTTCCCAAGAGAAAGCCCTTTTCAGTGCTGGCATAGATTGCGGAGGGGATAGTAGGTACTTGAAAGCTTCTTGAAATTTCATTGTCATGTCTTTAATGCTCTGTGAAGCATTAGTAAGAGTACTTTATTTGTAGTTTTTGACTTGAGTTAAAAATGCAGCTTATGACAACATAGAGTAGAAAGCCTATGTTTGTTTGCTTCAGTAAATCTGGAAAAGGACCTTTTGACACCTAAGCTTTGGTATTACAAACAATTTATCTTGTAGCGTTTCTGTTAAGGGTTTGTACCTGAAGTACTTGTAAAAGCCATGAAATAGTCATTGCATTCTGCTTGTCTTTTACAGGTGGTTTTTCATGGGATGCTCTTTGCCTTTATTTATCTGGCATTGCAGAAACGTCAGATGATATCAGAAGGAAAGGGGGATCCTCTTTTCTCCAACAGAGTTTCAAATGTTTTATTATTTATTTCAATTGTATCCTTTTTGGTACGTACCTAGTATAACTAGTATAATCAGGTTTGTAAATCTCTAGAGAATAAATTTTCCGAAGCTCTTGTTTAGAAAATACATTGATTTAAAAAATCAAATCTTGATCTGGAGATACTTCAGCTGTGTTTTTGTGCACAGCCCTACCTGTCTACTCACTAAAATATTTTTCCTTGCAGTCGACTGTAGATGAAAACATCATTACTCTTTCAGTTCATTGCAAAGGTTACAAGAAAATTGGATCATAGATATAATATGGTAGATAACGCAGCTCTTATCTCCGCTCTTGATTGCTTGTTTATTTCTAATGGAAAAATTGTCAACAGTATGGCTGTATCTTAGGGTATGAATAAGTATGGTATTCATCAGTTGCAAAGAAGAATTTGAGGGAAACACAAAACTAAGTACAATGTAGTTTTTTCTGTTACTGTCCTGCATCTTAGTGCACCAGCTACTGCTGAAGCACTTCAAAATAGCTTACCTCTTGTTTCATTTTTAAATGTTATATATAATTGCTACACAGACTGATTCTTTTATCTTTTAGACCTACTCTATTTGGGCTAGTAGCTGTAAAAACAAGACAGAGTGCAATGAACTACATCCTTCTGTTTCTGTGGTGCAGGTAAAAGTAATTACCATCCTTTTCCTTACAGTGATAGCATCTAGTCTGTTCTCGTTTGGACTTTTTTAAAAATTGTTTTTAAATATATTTTTGCTGTAGCATGGAATGTCAGATATTGAGCTTCATTCTCATGTCTCAAAGTGACAAAGGGTTTAACTACATTGCTTGCTGTTTTTCATTGCCTTTAAGCACTGAAATCGCATACTGTGATTATGCTTTAGATTAACCTTGGGGTCCTTAGTGTAGGTTTCATGTGCACTGTTTCACTCCAAACCCAATTTTTGGCTAATTGCACAGCAGTGGAAAAGAAGAAAGTTGCAGGGAAGCGTGAGTGTTTGGGAGGTATTAGGGTAGGAAGCAACCTATGGGACCCTGTAGTCACCTTTAGGCAGAGAAGAGGGGGGCCACAGGGGCAAGCATGTGGGTTTCTTAAATTTAGATTTTTCCTCTTACTGTGTCCCCTGCCCCGCTATACCCCAGCTGTCTGATTATGTTCCCTCCCTTTCCTTTTTTTTGATTGTTTGTCCTGCACTGTTGTGGGGCAGCATGTGTGACTTAATTTTTTTAATATTACTTTGTCCATCTTGACAACCTCTCTTTAAAAACTGAGGGTTAACTGAGATCTGTGGCCACCTTCATTTTAGCCTGGCATGGTAAAACATGTTCTGTGACCGTGCCTAGTAAGTGTATAGTAATATCTATTAACATCAAGGCCATGATTCTACTGAAGATGTAGATGTGACTTGCTATGCTATAAGAATGTGTAGGAGATTTGCAATTTTGAGACCTACTTTGTTAAGTATAAACTGCATGGATTTTTTGTTTGGTTTATATATTTATTAGATTTTAAAGAGAATTTAATGCATGATGCACTTCAGTTTAGACAGTGAAAATGAATAAACCTTTTGTGTGTGTGTGTGTGTAATCTGCTTGTCATTCACAGTCACTTTTTTTTTTACTTTTTTTTAAAAAAAGATTTTAGCTTTCGTCCTCATCAGGAACATTCCTGGATATGTCCGATCTGTGTATAGCTCATTCTTTGCCTGGTTTGGTAAAATTTCTCTAGAGGTAAGTAGAATGATCGGAAGTGCAGTGAATTGAAACTTAGAAATGTAAGGTGTTTTTATTATCTAAATTGTAGTATAACACATAAATAGTGAAAACATTTATTGGCTTATTTAATACCATGTTGTTGGTTTTGACCTCTTTTAGCATTGTAGCTTCCATCTACACTTAAAAATCATAGCTGAAGTAGCAGTCTCACAGTAGTAAACTTATTTCTTATGCTGTTTTCAGGGGGGGAGTTTAGGGTTGTGAGAGTGGGGATTTAATGCTGGAGTAAGCTGTGGTGTGTATGCAGTTGGAAGGTAAAAATTTAAGCCAGCTGAAGAGTCAGCGTGAATTATACTGACTGGTATAAGTACACTTATAAATGGGTTTGCCCTAGAAAGCTTTCCTGCAGTAATAAACAAATGTAACTTTACAACCAAAACCCTTCTTAGTGCAAATGTTACCTTGTTCCATTGAGTGTATATTTTGAAACAGTAGGAATTATCTTGCTTTCCATTTTATTTGCTGTTTAGTAATATTAAATGTTTAATTTTATTGTATTACTAAAATACATTTTAAAAAGGGAAAGGAACTTACAGGAGAAACTCATTGTGATACAACGTATACGTAGTACATGATTTTGAATTTTTTTTAAAGGATCACATTTTCACCCTTCAGATTCCTGGTGAACTTTAAGGGGCTGCTCAACTCCAGGGACCTTTGCAGTCATCAGCAGTTAAAGCACCATCTTTTATTTTGCAGGCATTTTGCCTGCAGTTTTGCAAATTTGAATGCAAAGGTCCTTGGAGTTGAGCAGCCCCTTAAAGTTCAGTCCCTCACCAGAGATACGGTAAGTGAGCGGAGGCATGTTCCTCATCTGTTCTGACATAATGTAAATGATGCTCCCCTATGCCGTATGTGGTTAAGGGCTAAGCAAACCCATTTTACTGTGTATTGTAACAGACGATGGTTCTGTCTTACAGCATAGACATGTGGAGAACAGCTTCTCAAAGTATGTTATTTAATCACAAATGCCTGAATTAAGCAGAAGTACAGCGTGTCAGTTGATGCAATAGTAATAATTACGTGTTTTTATATAAGTAAAAATATTTATGTATAAGGATTATTAAACACACTCTTTTTTTCTTTTAGCTTTTCATTTGCCAATACCATATTTGGCTGGCAGCAGACACAAAGGGGATCTTGGTGCTCATTCCTGGATATCCGATGTTTAATGTTCTTGTCAGCACTTTTATATTTGTGTGTGTGGCACATGAAATTTCTCAGATCACTAATGATCTAGCACAGATTGTGGTTCCTAAAGATAACTCAACTCTGCTGAAAAGATTGCTGTGCATAGCTGGATTTTTTTCTGGACTGCTCCTCTTCTCAGCAATGCAAGATCAGTCAAGGCATTAACTTGAAAAGATTCTTAGAAACTTTCTTCAGGTTTACTTTGTGTCTGCCTGAATAAATATTCTCAACTGGAGGTGTAAGAAGACATTTAAATTAAGTGTGTGGAAAATGTATATAGTGCGAATGTACATATTTTGTGTGGAAATAGCCTTCTCAAATAATCTGAGAAACAAGAATGCACTGTACAGAATTGCATGTGAAAATGAGTCTTTTCTACTGGATATATGTTCCTGTTTACATATCTGTTTAAACGTGACATGAAGAAGTGAAGTTAAATGGTTTAGCAACATCATGTGCATATCACGGCATTAACTTTGCCTTGGGTCAGCCGAATGAAGAGTGGATATTACTAAAGTACCGCCTATACATAACACGTGCTGTAATCATTCACATCAAGGAACAAAAAAGAGCGAACTTGGGATCCTTCGTTAATGGTCACCTTTAGCTGATGTGAAACATGAAGTTACTGGTAAACCAGGGCATTTTTCTGAACAAACTGGTACTTTTTTGTTTAGAAATGAGTATTTTGGGTGAAGATAGTATATGTTTTATGAAACCCTTTATACGTGGAAATAAAAAGTCATCGCCAATTCAGTAAATTAAGACTATATACAAGTTTACATAATATTTTACAGGGTTGGTTTTTTTTTAGAAATTTAAGATGTTTTTGGCAAATATGGTGAATTCTGAGGTGAAATATTTTTATAAAGACAATTTGATTATTTTTCCCCCCTAAAATGCTTTTTCATAAATTTTCCACTAATTCATTTAACTATGTGCAGTTCTCTGTACAATCCCGGTGAACGAACAGATGAATAATTTTCAGAGACTCAATTCAAGATGGAGAATTTTTGGAGGACCTCCAGCATTTTCCAGTCAGATGCAGTCCCATCCTAGCCGCTCCATCAGACCTTAAGGAGGTGGGAGAACAGGGGAACGGTGATCTTCGAACCTCTCTCTTGAGTTTGTAGGTGACCTTGAACTAGGTCTCAGTAGGGAACTGGTGCCATATTCTATCCTGTAATAATATTTTCATTTAAAAGGATGCACGCCGAGGGTGCAAGTCAATCTGTTGGTATCGTGAGGAGGAGGGATTGAGTGCTCATCTTGTTGGGTGCAGATGGTTGAGTCTCAGAATTACAAATGAAAGGCGATGGGAGCTGCTTAGAGGAACCTTTTTTTCCCATCTTTTTTAGCAGTGCCCATCTTTCTTATTAACGCCTTCCTTTAGCATAAAAAGTAAAATTGAAAGAAATAGCCCTTCAGTGTGGCAGTGACAAGCTGTCATTTCTGTTCCACTTATTCGGTGAAGTTTTGGTCATTTCTTTGCTGTTTGTGGTTTTGGTTCGGGTGATAGTTTGACCTCTAGTTGCTTTTTCATTTTATTCTTTTACTGATTATTTGTTAGCAGTCAAAAGCACGAGCACAATATTGTTTTCCAAGCATATGTGCAATTACATATGATTATAAACAATATGAATCCTAATTTGTACCATATGTACTATCATGTACCTGGTTTTGATCTTATCCCAGTTAAAAAATGGAATTCAATCTTGCAGCCACCAATGAGTGCAAAAAAAATTTGTGAAAAGAATGGCTTAATTTTTTTTTTTTTTCGGTGGAGAACAGTTTCTTTTAAAGAATGACCAGTCATTCACCACAAAAAAGAAAAAATAAATCACTCGCTTCCCCCAGATTCAGCAGTTTTATTAAGTCTGTCACCTAATTTTGAAGCTATTGGAAAGATAGTCAGCTTTTTGTTCTTTGTCTGCATTACTTCCAGTGTTTGGAAAGTTAACCTCCTGGATCAGGACATTGAAGGGCTGAAAGAAAGGGTATAGGTGAACACTGCAGTGGGGGAGAAGACGCGTAACCTTCAGCTATGCCAGTATTAGGAACAATGGGGAGCTGTGAGTTTGAGGGATAATCTTTGTTTTGTTCTTCACAACTTAAGTATTGTAGATACAATTTTATTTATCTGTTGTACAGACTTGGTTAAAAGATTTATTTTTCATGTTTGAAATAATGCACTTGTTTACTATTACTGTATGTGGGATAAATATATTTTCTTTTCAGGTTATGTAAAAATATGAAGTAATTTAAACATTAAATAAATGTGCTGTGGATGCTTATTTTTGTAATGGGAGCAGCATCAATTAAGTAAAAACTTTTTACTGCTTGACTCTAGCTGGGCTACGGTTCCCTGTTCTGCCTACCTTAAGTTACAGATTAGTGTTTCAGTTTCTCCAAAGTGATATTCTGGATACTGTTACTTCAAATGCAGGGCAGACATTCACTTGTATCACAAGTTATTTCAGATGCAACACAGGAGGCAAGATCGTTCTGCAGTAAATCGCACTGTCCCAGGACGGATGGAATTGCAGCTCCAGCAGCCGAGACTGCCCCTGGAGCTCGGGGGCCTTCAGCGGGACGCCACGGCGGAGGCGTCGAACACGTTTCCCCCCGGGGTTACGAGCTAGAAACGCTGCGGCGGAGCTCTGCATGAAAGCAGAGGAGCTGACTTGGCTTTTCTTCAAGAAACCCACCCTTAAGATTTGTTTGGATTAAGGAATTTAGCTTTCAATTTAGCGGCTTAAGTCCCACAGTAAATAGAAGAAGGGGCTCCTTAAGCAAAGGATTCAGAGTGGTAGTTCCTATCGTGTAACTGGGGAGATAATGTCGAACGTGGGCACCTCAACTAACTGGTGCAAATACTCTCCATCCTTTCCAGTTCCACCACCTATTTAGGCGTCTCCCCCAGTTAAACAGAAACCCTGCACAATCAGCTCCACTTCAATTCTTCGACACTTACCGTCCAGTATCACTGTCCGTAACGTTAACAACTGTAACAAAAAGCTGTTCAGGCATCATTACGTAAAATAACCAGGCAACAACAGCACTACTTAATGTTTTCCTATTTATTTATTAGATTTCCCATTTCATATATTTACAAAGACACCTGTAGTGCTTTCTATTTAATTTGGTTGCAACTGTCAATCAATACAATATCAGTTCATACTGTCATTGTACATCATTAAAAGAGGCTGTGAATTCACCGTTTTAATGATCAGCACCTTTACCTCCTACCAGTTCTTTAGCCATTAAGTGTCTTCAGCCAGCTTTATAAATCTATGCTTCCGTAGTAGTTGTTTTAGTAAGTAAAAATAAATAATTTGTTATTAAACTTACCTCAAATAAATGAAGCTTTCAATCGTAAAATACCCAAGTCACCTACATCATTAGATTCTTTCCGGAATAGGTGGGGCGCCCACGGGTACAAACTGATTCTTTATGCATGTGCGTAACAGTTTAAGAAATTTCCTTAAATACAGTGGCACTGTTACATGCTAATACAAATAAGACAGGAGCAGCTCAACTGGTAGTTAATTGATTGTCACGTCATCCTCAAGTTATCAGAAATTGTTATGATCCAAACCCAATACTATTTACAAAGTTTAGTCTTAATGTTGCATTAAAAATCAATATTTAAAATCCATTCCATTCATTTCTGTTTGAAAGCACTGACAGCTCATACTTTTGAAAACAGTAGTAGAAACCAATAGAAACCAAACGCCGACTGTACTCAAATTTTTCACAGCTTGGATGAAAGATGTAAATTTTTAATTTACTATAAATCTCCATGTGCAGTTTTCTAATTTACTTTTCAGCGATAATGATCCAAGCTGCTGGAAAAAAAGGAGGGGTCTCTCAGGAGGCTGACTGATGAAATCTCTGCCCTGGTACCTCCTGGGTGAGGTAGGTGGCCGTGACGCATGCCACTTTGACAGTGAGTAGGAATGGCTCGCTATTCCAACTGTTTCAGAATCTGACTTTTAGTTTTTCAACTTCTGACTGTAGCCCGAGCGACCTCTGGTAGTGTAATAACCACCGGCACTACTCCTGGGGCTAGGTGTATTTGTTAAGGTGTGCTGCCGGTTGTGCTTCGCATTTAGGGCAGGCAGCCTTGGAAACTCTTGATGTTTGCGGCTTGACAATATAGCAGTATGCACGATGTATTGAGCACTGACTGTATGCTTTGCTGCAATAGTTATCATACTTGTTGCACAAAATGGGTTTAAAAAGCAGTTCAGGACTTAACTATCTGCTGAGGTGTTGCATTCAGCTCTAAGCCTACAAACACATCATCATTTGCTTAAAAACAAACATAAAATAAGGTTTTGCGTTGTGAAGGAACAGGGTCATAACTGCAAAAAGAAAAAAAAAAAAAGCCAGTGACTACTTAGGTCTTTTTACAAACTCTAATAACCTTGTTTTACGGTTTCTTTTTAGCCTCAGTCTTAAATTTCTAAATTATTCAGTTTCTCTTCGCAGAGACCTCAGAAACTGCAGCTAAGGCAACGTAGCCAGCATTTAGCAATTTTAAAGCAGACGCAGCTTTCTGCTTACAACGCAACGTCGTGATGAACACACAGCTTCTGAAAGAGACGATATTACAGAAAAAAGACGAAGCTTTAAGGGTCAGCTTAAAACCGTAGGACGCTTTGAGGTAAAACCCCAAGAGCTGTTGGTGTGAGCTGTTACAGCTGGAGACCCTGAAATCCTGTGTTGTGCTGTATTTGAGGAATTAAAGAAGCATCAGAAAAAAAGCATTTAAAATACGCAGAGAAGTGTCAGGAGATAAATTATCACCATCTATTAAAAAAATAAGGAAACCTCAGTTCAGATCCTTCATATTATTAAGCTTCCAGCTGCACAGACAAAGGCCTCTCAAAATAACCACCTCCAGGAAAGTATGTATTTATTTAATCAACTCCTTTTTAAGGTGCTAAAAAATAATCCTTGGTTTATTGGATAGCTAGTTCTCCCACAAATCTTTTTGCTCCAGAAAGAACAAAGAATGTGGAGGATGTAAAAAATAAACTGCATCGGGAATATCACAGAAAATATTTTAAGAGAGTTAAAAGTTAGCGCGTGTACAACAACTAAATTTTGCATAACAAAATTTACCCTTGTTTACTTGCAGACATTAATTTCTGCCTCCAGTAGTTTGTAACAAGTTTCTTCTAACATAACCAGATGAATGAATGGACAGATTTTAAATGTTTTATTGCTTACAATAAATACAAGTTGTCAGATAGGTTAAATATCTGGTAAAGGAACAGAAATCCAATTTTCAACAGGAATCATTTTAGTTTGTTGGGGTTTGGTTTTGTTTTTTGTTTTTTTTTTTTTCAAAAAATAACTTTGCTCATTAAATTTTTATAATCTCTAAAAAATTAATGCCTCGTCGATCTGGAATACTATTTCTGAGCCTCATCACATTGCACAAGTTCCCATGCTTACACACTACTGCTTTCC